CAACACTATAGTACTATAGTAAACAGTATACACGTGGTCACAACACTATAGTACTATAGTAAACAGTATACACGTGGTCACAACACTATAGTACTATAGTAAACAGTATACACGTGGTCACAACACTATAGTACTGTAGTAAACAGTATATGCTCGCACGGATGTTGACTATACGAGTGAGGCACGCCGACTGAGACCGAGCATGGGAGAAGATTACCCACAATCCCGCAGCGAAAGAGAGAGAACAACCATTGGCTCAGTTGTGATCACGTGACGCTCGGCAGACAAAGCCTATACGGTACTACTCGTATTGCAAGGCCTCGCTCGTTTATCAAATGAACATTTATTTAAAAAAAATTCTCGTCTTGCAAAACACTCGCAGACCAAGTTACTCGCAATCCCAAGGTTTTACTGTATATATACCTCCCGCAAAAAAAAAAAAGACACGCACGCGCACAAAGGGAGAGCGTGCAACAGCTGTCAACAGCGGCTTTCCCTGCTCAAATACAATCGGGGCAAAGGAAGGCCGCTGCCGCTGTTACAGTTAACCAGCCGAGGAGAGCCGCGACACCGGATCGCCGCTCCAGCCGAAGAGCCCCCCCCCCCCCCCGGGGGGACCGAGTCCGTTACATAAGCTCGGACGCCGATAGCCCAATCACGGCGGGCGCTCACTCTGCCCGGGGGGGGGGGGGGGGGGGGGTGACGGACAGAAAGAGGGTTCCCAGCCGTCGGGAGAGGTTACAAACGAACGGCGTTTTATAATTGGCGCGGCCACCGCGCGCTCACACCCACCCCACCCCAAACTACGCTCGGCACTTCAATTAGCTCCGTGATTGCTTGGGAAAAAGCAGGGTGGGTGGGTGGGTGGGGGGAGGGGGGACGGTGTGTGCGTTGGGGTTGGTGTGCGTGGGGGGCAATTTACAGGCAGGGTCTCACCCCCCTCTCAGCTGTGAGGTGTAGGGTGAGGAGGAGGAGGAGGTGGTGAGAAAACAAATGGTGGCTGGTCCCCAGAGACCCATCAAGATTGACTCGCCTGATCCCTGGATTACGATCGCTCCCAAGACAGCCGACCCCCGCAACGTTTACGGAGCGCCAACCCGCTCCGTAACCCGCTCGGTGACCCGCTCGGCGACCCGCTCGGCAATAATGACCACTTTATGGGGAGGAAGTCAAAATCCGTTGTCCTCGTTATGCAGGGAGATCGTGGGCACGATCCCGACACTGACGACGCCTGCTGTATATTAGGGAGTTTGCATGCTCTCTCTCTCTCAATCTCTCCCCGTGGCCGCGTGGATTTTTCTCCGGGTCCTCCGGTATTTGGCTGCTACAAGTATCCACATGGTAGGCCCCTTCATTGAGCCATCATTTGTGGGCAGGTCGCTTCTGAAAAAGAGCTACGTAGCTCAGTGGGCCTTACCTGGTAAGTAAACAAAAACAAAATGTGTGTTTCCTATGGGTGAAATAAAGCGTAATCGTTAGAACGCTATGGCCGTCTGGAAACGCTCTTCCTTCACAAATATAGGGAGCCACTGGAGCTATGCACTTTTAAATCATCTGGATTGACAAACTTATTTCTTTTGGACTGCATTTGAGCGTTGTTATCCTTTCCCCCGCACCTCCCAATCATCACGGTTGGCTACGTACGGCGCGAAAGAAGTTCAACGTTCAACCTCGCGTGCACGGACAAAGCGGCCGAACCATGAAGCGGGCGCCATCGAAGATTCCCCGACGCCCGCGCGGCAACTTGATTCGATCGCCTCTGCCGCGGGGGGGGGGGGGGGGGATGTGGTAGGGCTACGAATCCAATTTTTGTTTGCAATGGACCTACAGGACTATCCGTCCCAACCATACACCGTTTGCTAACCGTGACATTGTTGTTCCCCCGCCCCCGGCGCACCTCCGATTAGCTCGATCAGGGCCACGCACGGACACGCGTACATACAAACATCCGCACATGCTGGTTAGCCTTCGCCAGCTCATCCCGGGCGGGGCGCCGGCAAGTTCGAAGCGTCGAGCCGGGGATCCCGGAGGGCCCCCCGCGGGTTCGGTGGCGGGCAACAGCGCACTGCCACGGAGGCCGCCGGCGAAGCGACAGGACTCCGCGTTCCAAGACGCCGGAGCTATTTGGCCGCCGGTGCCGACCGGGCTATTAAAAGCGAGGGCCGTTTTTGGTGAGAGTGTCGGTGGTGGAGGGGCGCAATGAGAGCGAGTGGTGCTGGCGGGGCCGGTCGTGAGCGAGCGAGTAAATAGGTCAGGCTGATGCCAGGTGCCTTTCTGGTGTTCATTCTTGACCCTTCCCCGCCCACCCCCTAAACAACCACCCCCCCCCCCCCCCCCCCCACCGCTCTCAGAGAGAGAAAGATGAGCCTCGGCCAAGGCGTAGAAATAAGTGCGACGGTGGGGAGGGGGGGGAGGGGGGGGGAGGGTTGACGCTCGTTCGGAATTACGTCAAGGGACGGGAAATGGGGGTGGGGGACGCGCCGATTAGGGGAAGCGGTGGCACAGGTTGAACATCACTGTCGTCGTCCGGAGCGTTGGGAGAATCGAGCGGAGCCTGGGCTAGGCGGGAGACGCGGCGTCACGGCGTCACGGATGACGGACGCCCGGGAGGGTACGCCGGGGGGGGGGGGGGGGGGGACGAGAGCGACCTCGGGAGGGGGGCAGTCGAGGAGGGGCGGGAAGCAGTTGGGGGGGGGGGGGGGGGGACCGACGGTGAAGGAGGAGACGGAGCGATGCTGAGATCGGCTCGGGTGCGGGGAGCAGCTGCCGGGCGGATCGTCACATCGCAGGATCGATAGCGTGGGGTGAAGGAGGCCTTCATCCAGCATTGGATCGACCACGGCTGACGATGACGACGATGACGACGACGATGATGATGATGATGAATGTGCCGTGTGGGGTCACTGACGCCTGAACTTCACGGGAAACGATTGGAGATGCATAAGAGGTTTTTGGCTTAGATCGTGTAAATATAAACCCACCACCCGACACAGCCAATTAGTAAGGTTTGCCACATAAACGAAAAATGCCAATTCGTTAATCGTACAACTCTGGCTGCCGCCTGACGATGCTGGTTGTAATTACTGCCGAAACGTCGCGCTCCAATTATAAATGTTGCGGGTTTACTCTCCAACACACCAGTGTGATGCACTAGTAACGAATTGTCACGCGAGTAGTTAAGTGGGTGAGTGGTTGGGTGGGTGGGTGAGTAGGTGGGTGAGTGAGTAGGTGGGCGAGTGAGTGAGCGAGTGAGTAGTTGGGTGGGTGAGTGGTTGGGTGGGTGGGTGAGTAAGTGAGTGGGTGGGATGGGTGAGTGGTTGGGTGGGTGGCTGGGTGAGCGGGTGGGTGAGTGGAGTAAGTGGGCGCCGGGGAGATAAAATCCAAATGGCGGACCTCTGGATCATATGTCCATTGACGCTGGTGACCCATTTCAGTGCCACAGTGGCATTGTCCCAGTGTGCTAAGTGCCAGTTGGGACCAGGCTGGATGAGTTATTGCACGACGTTTGGGTCAGGATGACCCGGGCCTTTGGGAACACTTGTGACACATGGAGAGAGAGGGAGGTATTTCTTTGGGCGTCAGCCAAAGGGAGCCGTTTATGCACAGGGAATCGACCTATGAAGTATGCGATGATGTTTATAAAAAAACAATCTCATGCTCGTGATGCATTCTTTGGCGGTGGCTACGCCGCTGCACGTGTGGCTGCCCGTGACCCAGCGCTGTGGAGGAAAGTAGCGAGGGTTCGTGGATCACCGCACGAATGTCCCTAAACTCCCTTCCCGTGGGCCGTCGGGGGAGGAGCCGTACCCCTGGCTCTGCCACGAGATGGTGGCACGGGTAAAGTGCGGACTAATCTCCACCTGTGCCTTCTATTTGAATTATTTTACTGCTACAGATGTCCATGTGACAGGCCACTTCGTTGATCTGTCACTTGCGGATGGGGCCAGGTTGCTTCTGAAAAAGAGCAACATAGCTCGGTGGGCTTTACCTGGTCAGAAAAATATGGGTTAGTTTATTTGTATATTTTTTTAAGTTACTTGTTTACCTCTCCTATACTTCACAACGCCTATCGTGTTTTCGTAGTTTGTTGTTGTTGTAACGATCTGACCCCGTGCCACTACCGAACACCTGTTAAAAAGAGCTTTATAGCTCATCGGATTCTTCCAGCATAGATAAATATTCAGATTTTGTACAGGATAGAGCGTTGCCCCCTCACACGCGTGGGTTTTCTCCAGGAGGTCCTGTTTCCTCCCACATGTAACCACTCATTAAGTAGTCAATAACACCGAAATATATATGGAGGACAGCAGTGCTCGGTGGTAAATGTGGCGCTGGCTCACTGCCTGCCAGCTGCCTGTGTACTGCTGTGAGATGCAGTGTGGTGAGTGAGTGAGCAGGTGAGCGGGTGAGCGAGTGGCCGAGTGAATGAGTGAGAGTTGCGAGTGAGTGGCCGAGTGACCGAGCGAGCGAATCTTCGAGCACGTCGTTGTGATCTGCACAACGTGGCGAGCGGCTGATCGGTTGTGTTGCCGCGACCTGCGGTGTGGAGGATAAAGCCCGACTACCTGCCGTCTGTAGGCACGGCTAGCCCCACAGGCGAGACCAGAGGTAGCCAACGGTGCCTAGATATTAACCACCTCGCCTGGTATGCAGGAGGTCGTCGGTTCGTTCCCAAGCCTGATGCCTGCTGTGTATTTGGAGTCAGGCATGCTCGCTCTCTCTCCCCGTGGTCGTGTAGATTTTGATCCGGGTCCTCGAGTCATTTGGCTGCTATACATTTTTCCACGCGATGATAATCCACTTTGCTGGGCAATCACTTGCGGCCAGCTCGTTTCTTGTAAAAGAGCCTTACCTGGTAAAGTCATAAAAAGTTTTTGCTTTACCTGGGTGTGGAAGAGGCGGGTAAAGCTGGCGAGCCGAAGGGAATGGGCGAGCCAACAACGAGTGGGCGCAAGGGTGACGGGGGGGGGTGGGTAAGGTGGGGCGAGCGAGCCCCTCACCTTCTCGGCGAGCGGACAGTAGCCCTTGAGGAAGTCTGCGCAGGCCTCGGCCTTGCGCGACACCTTCACGTGGCTGTAGGGGCAGTCGGCGCTGCTGCACACGCCGCGCAGGTAGTAGCAGCATACAGGCATCTGCAATCGCACGCCGACAAAAAGACGAAGATGATGTCATCGTCAGTGTCGTCGTCATCATCACTGCCGTCGTCATCATCACTGCCATCGTCACGGTCATCGTCATCATCACTGGCCATCGTCATCAATGTCATCGTCAAGTTCCCTTCGCTTCAGCATTTTTAAAATATATTTTTTTGTTATTTTAACTCAACGCAAACCCCGGGTGCAAAGCACAAAGCGTAACGCGGGGGGGGAGGCATAGAAACTCCGCGGATAACAGCCCAAGGCTCAGTGCTCCTGGGGTTTAAGGCGGGGGGGGGAGAAGTTGGGCTGGCGGTCAGGTTTGGGATGGCGAGCGAGGGCATGGACATTCATATGGGGGCGGGAAACATGGGGGAAGGATGACAAAAATAAGGGGATAAAAGGGGGCGGGGGAAGGGGGAGTGAGGGGAGAAGGGGAAAAAAAACGAAAACTTTTAAAACTACACTTTTATTTTACCAGCTAAGGCCCCACTGGGCTACGTAGATTTTGTTTTAAGAAGCGACCCTGGCCTATAACAGATGATAAGCTCAACGAAAGTGGTCTTGTCATCACGTGGAAATGAGGAGGGGAAAACCGGGGGGGGGGGGGGGGGTGGGTGGGGGGGGACCTTCGGGGCAAAAAATCCACGCGACTACGAAGAGAACGTGCACACTGGAGCTGCCACCACTGCCGACACTAGTGGGCCGTAACAGAGCCCTTTGCGCACAAATTTGGGCCTCACCAGCTGAGATAACAACGGCCAGAGTCTGACTTTGGGGTCGCCGCAAGGGACGAAAGCAGTCAATGGCACGAAACGAGAGAAATCGTCGAATCAAACAGGGCTTCGGAACGAGACAAAAAAAACGACGACAGGGGAATCGAGAACATCGGTGGGACATCGCCGCCGCCGCAGCCGGGGCCAGCAACGTGGCGCGCTCGCTCCGTCACGGAGGCCCCCCCCCCCCCCCCCCCACCGCACACAACGAGCATCGGTTGTAGGTGGGGGGTTTAGGAGGCGGGGAGGGACACACAGCAAGCGAACCACCACCACCACCACCACATCCCCCCCCCCTCGTCACCACCGCCGCAAGCCAAAAAAAACAAATGCCCCCACCTCTCACCCTACTCAGCCCCCCACTCCCCTCCCCTCCCCCCACCCCACATTATTTTGGAAAGCGCCCTCCCAAAAAGGAACCGCGGGTGCGTGGGACCAGGCCGTGGGACCGCGAGGAGCCTCAAGAGCGATTGCGGGCAGCTGGGAGGCCCCCGGCGCTGCGCCACCGGATGGAGGCGACCGATCATCGACGCTAAAATTCCCCCCTCCTGACCCTCCGCCCTGGTGATGGGCGAGCGAGGGAGGGAGGGAGGGAGGGGCGGGGGAAACGCCCAAGTATTTGCAGCATCTGTCGAGGAGAGGGCGGCCCCGCGTCTGTCTGGGAGGCACAGCACCAGAGAAATCAACTTTGAATTCTGATCTCGTCATCTCCGACGCCGCCGTCCACCGCTGCCGCCCGCCACCTCTCCCCATGCCCTCCAACCCGGAGCCGCGGTGTGTGGCGCGCGTGTTCACGAGCGCTTGCGCGTGTGTTCAGGCGCACGTGTGCACGCACGCCGGCCCTTTACCGTTCGCTCCTCCGCAGGGCGTGATGACAATAATAATGATGAGGTAACAACGCAGCGCAGTCACCGCTCGCTCTCGGCGAGCAGCCGGAGCCAGCAACAATTGCCCAAGCTCTGCGGTCCTCTAGTTATGAAGGTGACGGGAACCTCACCGCGATAAACCAAACTAAAACTAAAACTATTTTTTTTATTTTACCAGCTGAGGCCCCACCGAGCCCTGTAGCTCTTTCTCGGAAGCGACCTGACCATCACAAGTGACAGCTCAACGAAGTGGCTTATCACGTGGAAATTTATAGCAGCCAAAGGCTCTAAAAACGCGTGACGCTGATTCTGAACGTGGAGGGAAAAACCGGAGGACCCGCAGGATAATACGCGCGACCACGGGGAGAGAGACACGCAAACTCCAAAAATGCAAGGCGTCAGGGTTGGGGATCGAATCCACGACCTCCCGCATACCGGGTGAGGTGGTTAACATTTCGCCACCGCAGCGCCCAATGGTCGGGCGAGCGGCACAGACGCGGGAGCGTAGCGGAGTGCAACGGAACAATTCGATTTTCGCCGCATCTGCCCCCTGCCGCCCGCAACGTGGCCACCGCAGCATCCGGTAACACCTCTTTCCCAGGGGCACGGCGGTCACCGATTCCGGCGCTTCGCCGGGCTCAAAACGTCGCTTGGCCTTCGACGTGGGGAGCGGCGGGCAACATGGGTATCGAACCGGCAACATGGCTATCGAACCGGCGACCCCGCTCGTCGCTGGCGTCCGGCGCGCACCGACCGCTGCGGCCGCGGCGCGGAGGAGCTCCCCACCGCTCCAGAATACGAGATCGTTACAGTCTTGATTTGAAGCCTTCGTGACCGCGGGAATCCATTAACTCTTTGCTGCGAGCAGACGTCGTCGTGTCTGCCCGCAGCAAGAGACACCGCAGCTGTCGCGGTTTTCACCTGAAGGCGGGCCCCGCTTGCGTTGCGTTCGAAACGCAGCGATTTACTTGATTTCATCTCCACCTACGTGCCTTTACCGAAAGAACCAAAGAGTAGAGGTCATTAACAACAATTGCAGAAATTTCGAGGGCTCAGCCGGGCCGCCGCCGCCGCCGCCGCCGCGCATTCACGCCGAGATAAATTCAACCCTCCCAGGGTCCGGCAAGAACCGGCGTCGCTCGCGCTCTCTCTCTCTCTCTCTCTCCCGGATAGGCCGCAGGGTCGGCGCGCCGAGCAAGTAACGCTAGAGGTGGGCGTGCGTCACCGCGCACGTAAGCCGACACCCGCGGGCGTCTCGAGGAGCCCACAATTATTTTTGGATGAGGCGGTTTGGGGGGGGGGGGGGGCAGCTGCAAGGTGCCTTGCGCCATCCACCGAGGAGCGGGACACGACGGCAGCAAGGCAGCCTTGGCAGGGCGGAGACGGGATCGGGAGGGTAAAGGCACGGCTGCCCTCCCCGAGGCTCCGCAGGGGTTACACGCGATTGCCAGAACTTCCCTTCGGCCCGCAATCTTAACCCGATTTGCTTGCCGCTCACACCGCAGGGGACCGGTGCCACGCACGCACCCCCATTTGTCAGAGGCTTGTTTTACCGGACCCCCAACTACCCCCCCCGCCCCCTCCGCCCCCCCCGACTCCCCTGTCCCACAAACTGCTGCCCCCCCCCACCGCCCGCCCCTCCCCGCCACTGGCTAGCATCCTATTCCTCCCCGGGAGAACTGAGGGAGAGGGGTTACGGGGGTGCGGGGGGCCTAGCCCGCGCCGAGGAGGCTCGTGGTGGTTTTCTCTCTCGCCACCCCTGCCACCATCACCCACCCAGCCCCCCCCCCCACCGGCCGCGATCGCTCACTGCCAAAGTGGCCGACTCGGAGCCAAAGAGCCGGGCTGAGGATTAGCCGGGACCCCCCCCCACCCCGCCCGCACCCAAACTGACACATGCCCCCTAAAGCCCCGTTGCTATTGCTGCCTCTTGGCTCGATTCCACGCAAACCTCTATACCGAGCCAAAATGTATAATTTATACATCTATTTATAGACAGATATACACATACTTACTTATTTACCCAGGAAAGTCACACCGTGTCTCAAGACTCTCTGTTTAGAGGGTGCCGTCACCGTGGCCTAAGGGGGCGGTGACGTCACAGTGGCCCGAGGCGGCAATGACGTCACAGTGGCCTAAGGGGGCGATGACGTCACAGTGGCCTAAAAGGGTGATGGCGTCATCGTGGCCTAAAAGGTGATTACGTCATCGTGGCCTAAGGGGACAATGTTTCAACGTAGCTTACACCCAGGTTAAGTAACACCGCGGTTAACGTCTCTCGCCCCCCCCCTCCCCATCGAGTCGTTTTTCAAACAAGTCGTCACTTTATCATGAACGCCGCCGCCACCCCCGCCGCCGCCACCACCACCACCACCACCACCGCCACCACCACCGCCGCCACCACCACCGCCACCACCACCACCACCACCACCGCCGCCACCACCACCACCCGATTTGCGTCGACTCGAACCCTCCCACACACTTACGTCGCCCACAGCATCGTCCGTCCCCTCTCGTCTCCGTGCCCCCCCCAATTATCGGCGCGCTCGGGCACGCAATCGACGCGGTGCCGTACGGAGTCACGGTGAAATGAAGGGAAGTGACGTCCCCACCGCCCGGCCCCCACCGCCACAACTGCAGCTGCCTCGGTTACCGCGAGCCGACGGGGCAGCTGCCGAGGAGTCCGCCTCACCTTCTCTCTGGACACCTTGTGTGAGAACTGGCAGGTCCCGTCCGTCTTCCTGCAAGTCCCGCGCAGGAACCTGCGGGTGGGCAAGAGACGTCAGGCGCTTAACGTCATCGTCGTCTTCTTGATCGTGATCACTGTCGCCGTCGTTGTCGCCGTCATCGTCACTGTCATCGTCATCATCACTGCCATCGTTATTGTTGTCGTCATCATCACCGTCATCGTCAACATCAATGTCATCGTCACCGTCATCATCACTGTCATCGTCATCGTCACTGCCATCGTTATTGTCGTCGTCGTCATCATCACCGTCATCGTCATCAATGTCATCGTCACCATCATCATCACTGTCATCGTCATCATCACTGTCATTATCATCACTGTCATTGTCACTGTTATCGTCATCGTCACTGTCATCGTCATCGTCACTGTCATCGTTATTGTCATCGTCATCGTTATTGTCATCGTCGTCACTGTCATCGTCATCATCAATGTCATCGTCATCATCACTGCCATCGTTACTGTCATCGTCAATGTCATCGTCAATGTCATCATCAGTCAATGTCATCATCACTGTCATCATTGGTGTCATCGTCATCATCACTGTCGTCGTCACCGTCATCGTCATCGTCACCGTCATCGTCATCGTCACCGTCATCATTACCGTCACCGTCATCATCACTGTCACGTCATCATCACTGTCACGTCATCATCAGCGTCATCATCAGCGTCATCGTCACCATCGCCGTCCGGACGCTGCGAGGGCCAACATACAGCAACACAGCGATCGGCGCACGGCAGCGGCCCGGTTTCGCGCCCATCGGTGCCCATCGGCACCACGGCTCACCGGGTGCACACGGCCACTTTGTCGGGGTCGTGCAGGAAGGTGCAGGCGTCGCCGCGGTTGCAGCGGCCGAAGCGGTTGTAGAAGGTGCAGTAGTCACGCGGACGCTCCAGCCGTCGCCACAGCCTCGCCCGGCGGATGAGCTGCACGCTCCGCTGCACCGCGCGTCTGACACCACCATCGGCCCCCGCCCCGCGATCAGCATCGCCACAATCAACGTCGGTGACGTCGTCGTCGTCGTCGTCGTCGTCAAGACCACCACTTACGACCAACGTCAACGACCATGATCATCACGACGGCAATGTCACTGCCACCATCATCACCACCGCAATCGACGTCACTCCCATCATCACGGCAATAAGCATGACGGCCACAATCAATATCGCTACCACCATCATCATCATCACCACAATCAACTTCACTGCCATCATCATCATCATCACCACAATGAACATCACTGCCATCATCACGGCAATCAGCATCACGACCACAATCAATGTCGCTACCATCATCACCACAATCAACGTCACTAACATCATCGTCGTCGTCATCACGACCACCACTTACGACCAACGTCAACTACCATGATCATCACGACAACAATGTCACTACCATCATCATCACCACCACAATCAACGTCACTCCCATCATCATCACCACAATCAACTTCACTACCATCATCACGACAATAAGCATCACGATCACAATCAATAGCGCTACCATCATCATCATCACCACCACAATCAACGTCACTCCCATCATCATCACCACAATCAACATCACTGCCATCATCACGAAAATCAGCATCACGACCACAATCAATGTCGTTACCATCATCATCATCACCACAATCAACGTCACTCCCATCATCATCACCACAATCAACATCACTGCCATCATCACGGCAATCAGCATCACGACCACAATCAATGTCGTTACCATCATCATCATCACCACAATCAACTTCACTACCACCATCACGGTAATAAGCATCACGACCACAATCATCATCATCACCACGGTCAACATCACTACTACCATCTCCACCAATTAATCTGGCCAGCGAAGAAGACTAGGTCAAATGCGCCTCTAACAGTTGCAGCTTTTTGGAGCTTTCACAGCATAAACGGGATAGACTAAACAAAAAATTACGTTTTGTTTTACCAGGTAAGTCTCACTCAGCTGTATAGTTATATTTCAGAAGCAACCTGGCTATCACAAATGATAGCCCAACCAAGCGGCTTATCACGTGGACATTTAGAGCAGCCAAATACTCTAAACGCGTCACGTAAATTATAAATGTGGAGGGAAATTCCGGACGACCCGGAGCAAAATCCACGTGACCACGGGAAGAGAGACACGCAAACTCCTCATATACAGCAGGCCTCGTCAGGGTCGGGATCGAACCCACGACTACCTGTACACCAGGCGAGGTAGCCAAGATCTCGCCACCGTTGTGGAAGGGACGTCTCAGACGACGCTTCGAAATGAACGTCACAGGAAGGGGGGGGGGGGGAGACAGAATATGTCACGGGAACTTCCTCGACTACGACGTGACGGGGGACGGGAGGTTTAACTGCGGGGCGACTCACGAGGGGAGGACGCGGCTGCTGCCGGTGCTGCTGGCCGAGAACGAGAAGCTGCCGGGGCTGAGCGAGGCCGGCGATCGAGCGGAGAACATCGTGTTGGCGCCCAGCCCTGCAACACGCGCACAAAGATCCCCCCCCCACCCCCGTGTAGCCTTAACAGACAGTTGGGGGCAAGTGCTGCTAGCGAGCAGCACCCACGAAGGCCGGCACTGCGGCACACGAGGGGGGTGGGTGGTCAGCGCCACGCCCCGACCGCCTTTGTCCCCGCGGTGGCGATGTTTACGCACCGCACCAGGTACTCGTTCGAGGCCGAGTCGAACTAGGGGAGGCCCAGAAACGGGTCAGATAATCGTCACTGGTGTTGGCCGCGAGCGGGAAATCGAGCTCGGGCCGCCAGGGTCCATAGAGTCAGCGCGCTAACCGCTACACTACCGACACACACACGACGAACAGGCAAAGGTTCCCAGCGTAGCCTTTAACGGGCCGTTGGGGCAAGTGCTGTCAGTGAGGAGGCCCCCATGAAACCCGTCGTGGCAACTATGAGCCTGGGTTGTGTGGCCAGAACCACGTCCCCACCACCTCTGTCTCTCCAGCGCTGAAGTAGTGCGCACTGCAGCAGGTGCTCGTGTAAGGCCGAGTTGACCACAGACTCGCATAGACGCCCGGAGACTCACAGAGCCGCAGAGACTCACACAGAGGCCCCCTGGTTCAACACTGGCGGTGAGACAAGGCCATGGCCTAAGGCTGTCCTCTGATGTTGGCCAATCAGTTTCAAAGCAAATGCATACATTATTATCAGAGCATGTTTGTTTGCATGTTTTACCACAAGTACTGTGTGTGGTTCATTCAGATTTCATGCCTTGCAAAAGGTTTCTAATTGGTGTTTGAATACCTTAACAACTCTTGTTGTATTGCCAGAAAGGGAAAAATCTATTCTTACCTGTTCACCAAAGACTACGCCAATAGAGACGCATGGACCGACGCACAGAGACCTATGGCTGCCCACGTGACCACAACGTGAACACACCCCGCTGTTTCCACACGACGTCTGGACAGGCGGTCGCATCGGTCAGGCGGCACCGTGCCACACGGAGCTACGGAGCTCTTTTTCAGAAGCGGCCTGGTTCTCACAAATGACAGCTCAACGCAGTGGCTTATCATCACGTGGAAACTTATAGCAGCCAAAATTCTCGGAACGCACGTCGATTCTAATCGCGGAGAGAAAAACCGTAGAAAAATCCACGCGACAACCGGCGAGACAGAACACGCAAACTCCAAATATACAGGCGTCAGGATGGAACGCACGACCGCCCGTATACCACGCGAGGGAGATAACATCTCTCGCCATCACGATGCGGGTTAGGGTGTGCTGGCGCGAGCGGGGACGCCAGGGACTGGCAGCCGTGGGTGCCGTACTCGGTGAGTGCAGTCGACGCAGCTTCTTGCCCGAGTGGCTCGCCGAGTAGCGCACGCCGCCCTGGTTCACGTACACGTGCAGCGTCTTGCCTCCTGCGTGGGGGGAGAGCAGGGGAGGGGGGTCGAGAAGGTGGAGCAGGTACCACTCCACTTGCCGGATGCCCTACGCCTTTTCCCTTCCGAGACGTCTGCAAGTTGCAGGGTGGGTCCCCACAAAGAACCATTGCGACCCTACAATAGCTGGCACCAAACGGCGCCACGCCCTCCCACGCACGGCATTGTGGGAGCCTCGGAACCGATAAAGTAATTTGATTTCGGTGTACGTCATCGGAATGGGAAAGGGATAAGGAACCCAACACGCGGGGGGACCTAGCGCACCCGCCGCTCGTTGCAGAGGTTCCTCGCTCGGTGCTGAAAGCCAATTGCTATTTGCGCAGCTGGCTTGGACGGAGGCGAAGGGGGTTAGCTCGCACCCATCTTGTCAACCGCCGCGCCGGGGGACGGGAGTCGAACCGGCGACCTGTGGCTTGCGAATTTCAGCGCTGCGAGTCCAGCGTGCTCACCGTGACAGGCGGCCAGCGGGTGGCAGCACGCCGCAAAATTGCATTCATCCGAGTGAGTCTCATCCCCACCGCACGCGCTGGGGGTCTTTTCTCCGGGCTCGCCGGTTTCCTCCCGCGCGAGGCGGAAACCCTCGTGCGGACAATGCAAGAGGCCAAAGGATTTCCCGACGTGGCAGGAACCCTCCTGACGACGTCTTGAGATTCAGTGAGGCCGCGGTGGATAAATCAAGGGCACTATTTTTTATTATAACCATAATAATTTCTTCTTCTTTGGTTCTTTCGGTAAAGTCACGTAGAATGAGAATAAAATAATAAATTGATAAAATAAAATAACACAACAATATTCTCACGACGTTTCGGCCACAACACAAGCGGCCTTCATCATGATGACAAGCGGCCTTCATTCTCATTCTACGTGACTTTACCGAAAGAACCAAAGAAGATTAATCCTTGCAGTCACGAAAGCTTTAAATCGAAATATAATAATTTCATATTCTTGGTTCTTTACTTTACCGAAAGAACCAAAGAAGATTAATCCTTGCAGTCACGAAAGCTTTAAATCGAAATATAATAATTTCATATTCTTGGTTCTTTCGGTAAAGTCACGTAGAAGGGGAAACAAACAAAAATAAAAAATATATATGTATAAAAAATAAAATTCCCACGAAGTTTCGACTGCAACACTGCTGTTGGTTTTCACACCTGGTGATGGTTGCTTGTGTTGCAGTCGAAACGTTGTGAGAATTTTATTGTTTTATTATTTTTTTGTTTCCCTTCTACGTGACTTTACCGAAAGAACCAAGAATATGAATCCCTGCAGTCACGAAAGCTTTAAATAAAAACTTATAATTTCACTCGGTGTGCTTCTCCATCTCTCCCGTACCTTGCCCCTCTCTCCTCCCCGAGCTTCTGCTCCTCCCTCCCTCTGCACCCCCACCACCCCCACCCACCACCTACCACGTACTAAACTATATCTATATAACAAGGCAAGGCACAATGAGCTACATATCTCTTTTTGACAAATGATAGCTCAACAAAGTGGCTTATCACGTGCAAATGTATAGCAGCCAAATACTCTTTAAAACGCGTGACGTTGATTCTAAATGCGGAGGGAAAAACCGGAGGGCCCGGACAAAAATCCACACGACCACGGGGAGAGAGAGAGAGAGAGACACGCCAATTCCAAATATACAGCAGCAGGTGTCGGCGATCAAACCCACGACCACCTGCATACCAGGCGAGGTAGTTAACATCTTCCGAGCCACCGCGGTGCCACTTCTCCCCCTCTCCATACCACCCCAACCCCCCGGCCCCACCAATCTCCCCCCCCCCCCCCCCCCCACACCTTTGGCTCGTGAGCGAGCCGGCGACGGGGTCCTAGCGGGCGATGAGGCCGCTCCGTGGCCCCGCTGCTGCTGCTGCTGCTGCTGCTGCGACGGTGGCCGCGCGTGGCCGGCTCGTGCGAGCCGCTGGGCCGTCACGCTGTAGGCCACGCCGCCGATGAGTCGCAGGCACCTCCGGCCCCACCACACGTCGGCGCTGTGGGGGGGGGAGGCGCACGTGTGTGTGTGTGCGTGTGTGCGCGTGTGTGTGTGTGCGCGTGTTACACGTGAGAAGCAGCACCAATCAAACCAATGATCCAGTTAATCAGCGTTGAACGTAGCACACGCGCGCCACCAGCGTCAACACACCACGCACACGGCATAGTCACTGATCAAACAGTACACACGCGCACGGCACAGCGCACCGCACAATGAGCGCAGCTCGCACACACGCGCGCACGGCACAAAGCAGCACGCACGCACACGCACAGCGCAATGCAACGCAGCATACACACACACAGTACACACACACAGTACACACACACAGTACACACACACAGGACAGCACACACACGCACAGCAAAATACAGCAAACACGCACGGCACAACGTAGCACACACGCACGCACAGTACAACGCAGCGCGCGCACACACACGCACAACACAGCACACACGCACAGGGAAAGTCCCACCTGCTGTGCGCCAGGGTCAGGTCGGCCTGGGGCCGCGACTTGATGACGCTCATTCTCCTGCGGGAGACACGCACGGAGCTTACTCTCGACCGCTCGCTCTCAACCAGCGGTTCCCAACATTTATCACCCCTACCAGCCCTAAGAGCCTCCACACCGACCACACCTACCCGCCCTACGACCTTACCCGCCCTACCACACCTACACCCCTACCACCCCTACCAGACCCACAGCCCTACCAGGCCTACCACTCCTACACCCCTACCAGACCCACAGCCCCACCAGACCCACAGCCCTACCAGGACTACCACCCCTACCTTCCCTACACCCCCACACCATTACAGACCTACAACCCTAACAGCCGCACACCCCTAGTGTGGAAGAGTGTGCCAGACGTCCTCTTGTCTGGGGCCCCCTCTAGTGGAGGCATTCCGGCCAGGAGGAATCTTTCGCCTGCGTCACGCGCTCCCGCGCGTCGCGCTCCAACGGGCACGCACCGCGTCATGAAGTCTCCGCGCGCGTGCGGCCCGCTCCGTGGCGTGCGTGGGGACGCGGGGCCCCACGGCTGCCGCACCAGCTTGTACCTGCGGCAGAGCCGGCAGCAGAAAGAGACTGTCACAGCAACAGCGGCGGCGGCATCGCCAGCGCCACCAGGGCACCCGGCCACCAGGGCGCCCGGCCACCAAGGCACCCACCACAGGGCCGCCCTTCGCCAAATGAAATTTTAGTTGTGATCAGAGGGAGGCCGATGACGGCCCGTTCGTGTAAGGTCACGGGGGGGGGTCAAAGGGGGCAGCGGGGAGCAGCGGGCGAAAGCGAGGGTGGGGGGTAAAATACAAAGCACATTTTGCCGAACAGTGCACGCACTAGGAATAGGTTTGACCCTTTTAACTGGCACAAAAACTGACACCTTTATTCAAGGCATCATGTTTGCAATAACCACAACACAAGCAGTCAAAATGCAAACAAAAGAGACAACTCTGATAATAATATGCACTGTCCTTGAATTGATTGGTCCACACCCAAGACGGCTTTCTTTAGAGCCTAGTCTCCACTAGTGTTGGACCAGAAGAAAACATGCGTTTTTCTGGATTTTGTTGCTGTTATTCTGTCTCTCACTGTTCAAATAAACCTACCATTAAAATTATAGACTGACCATTTCTTTGTCGGTGGGCAAACGTACAAAATCAGCAGGGGATCAAATACTTTTCTCCCCTCACTGTATTTATGTACGTGTTCATTCCAGCCATTCTCAATCCGCCTCCAATGGATGAAGGCCTCCCCACGTCTTGTCACACATCGTGGGGGGGGGGGGTGACTGCGTTTGCTTGACCATACTTCGCCGTGCTGGTCTATGCGAGCTGGTGATGGGGAAGCGGGGAAGGGCAACGACTGTTGGGCGTGATCGAGAATCGAACTCGGACGGGGTGGATTTAGTAGCACAGCAAACAAAGCTAACCACTTCGCCACTGCTCCACCTGACCGTTGGTGCCCACACTCAAGAAAACACGTGTGTCGGACGGGTGTGGACCAGGTTGACCCGGGTCACTGGGTCAGCGGCGGTTACACGCACCTCGTCCTGAGCGCCACCTTCCCGGTGACGCGCGGCGTGGCCGTGGTCGCGTAGAGCACGCTCCTGCGCCGCACGAACTTCGTCCGGTTCCTCGCCGGGGCCAAAATCGCCGCGCCGGGGCAGGCGGCGGACGCGGACGGCGGCGGCGTCCTCACGGTGCCGCAGGGATTGCCGCCGCCGTCGCCGCCGCTCGACTTCCACTTGTAGCGGGAGGTTCCGGCACGCATCGCGGCGGGAGAGGCGGCTTTGGGAGCGGCCGTCAATCGCGGCAGCCGTCCCTTCTGCGGCCTTGCCGCCGCCGTCACCGCCGCTGCGGTGATAGCGGCGGCGACAGCGGCGCCGGCCGACGACGTCGCCGAACCGACCTCGGTGGACTCGGCGTCCGTCCGTCGGGACCACGTCACGGGAGACAGGCCCCAGCCGGGCGAAACACAGGACGCCGGCGTGGCGGCGAGCGGGCCGCCGTGTCTGGCGGTGGCGCCCGTCCACACGTACTTGGTGGTGGCCGCCTTCGAGCGGGCCGACAGCGGCGTGCTGCTGCGCACCATCTTGGCCTGCCGCTGCAGCTGCTGCTGCAGCTGCTGCTGCTCCTGCAGCTGCTGCTGCTGCTCCTGCTGCTGCTGCTGCTGCTGCTGCGGGCGCGCTTCAGACGATCGCTTCTTGTCGCCGCCACGGCCCCGCGCCGCCACGGCCGGCGCCGGTGCGGGGCCGGGAGCGGAGCCCTTCGGGACGTCAGCGCTCGTCGCCGGGGCCTGCTCGCCGGGCTTCGCGCCGACGGGGGCGGCGCGCACAGGGGGGGGGCCGTCGCCACGAGTAGCGCGACCGCCCCTCGGCGCAAATCGCGGGCTTCCTGGGCGCGCGACAGACGCTCGGTGCCGCCGGACTCCGGCGCGCCAGCGTCACGTCGAGCGGCGGCACGGCCGTGGCGGGGGCGAGACGGGCGGATGCTGCCGGTCGTTTCGGTCTGTCGGGCGCCGGCGGAACGGAAGCGGCGGCCGGTGGCGTCGCGGCGCCGTGGACCAACCCGGCACGCGCCGCGCGGCGCGTGCCGGGTTGGTCCACGTGCAGGACGAAGGGTCGGCCTGGCCGCGGCCCGAGAGGTGATCCGCCGGTCTCCGCGGTGCGTCTCCATGTTGACTCCTGTGTGCGTTAATGAGGCCTGTGGAGCAGGAGGAGGAGGAGGAGGGGAAAGGAGGTGTGAGGAGGTAAGGGGGGGGGGGGGTAGGGGGGAGAGGGAGGATGCAGGAGGCGGGGGTGGCGAATAGAACACCATGGTATATCAAGTTAAACATTGCAAAACAACGAAAACAAAGGTAAAGAAAATTGTGATGTATACAGAGTAAGAATCAGGATCTTTATTTAAGACTGGAGGAATCGGAAGGGCTATCAAGCTTGTTTGTACAGATGTCCAGTCGTGGCGGATCAGCAAGTAACAAGAACAAACAACACACAACACGACAGGAGTTCAAAATTGAGACAAATGTAAGCAAGTCGCCACATTCAAATAAATACATTAAAGTACACGTCCTATTTTCCAACGCTAAATGCAAGCGTTGGCAAGGCAGCAAATCAACAACAAAAACAGTCCCAGACCACACCAAAGACAACACGCAGTCCCTCGATAAAATGGCACGTTAAAATTGAACTATCAATGCACGCGTTAAGGATCAACGTTACAAATGACATTGACAAATGCGGTTGCATCCAGCATTAAATTTCTGCTTCGAAATATTTTTGAAGGAAGATTTTACGATGTTAAGGGAGGAAAACAAGGTTGGAACATAACGTTTGGTGCTTTGGAGCACTTATTCCAATTCTTTTTCTAAGGTTAGTTAAAAGGGAATTCGAAATTTCTAGAAACTCTTTTTATTTCACCAGGTAAGGCCCACCGACCTGACCACAAATGATAGCTTATCATGTCAAAATATATATCAGCAAAATACTCTAAACGCACGATTCTACATGTGGAGGGAAAAACCGGCGGAACCCTGAAAAATCCACGCAAACAAGGGGAGGACATGCAAACTCAAAATATACAGCAGGCATCAGGGTCGGGATCGAACCCACGACCTCCTGTATACCAGGCGAGGTAGCTAACATCTCGCCACCATAGATAATCTACCACTGAATCACCGAGCAAGTTTGCCTAGGGCTGCTATATACGTACAGCTGTGCACACCACACAACCTACCTAACCCTCATTAAAAATGAGACATCCCCATAAACATACATAATAACACCTTTACCACAACTCAGCCGACAAAAGCTATTTATGGGAATACTATTATCTCAGGGCTTATGTGACCACTCTCAATTCAAGACACAGATTACTCTCATTGCTTACACAATATACACCTTCAAAAGCCCGCTTCTGTTTAACACGTAGACTCAGCCGACAAAAGTTATTTATGGGAATACTATTATCTCAGGGCTTATGTGACCACTCTCAATTCAAGACACAGATTACTCTCAAAGCTTACCCAATATACACCTTCAAAAGCCCACTTCTGTTTAACACGTAGAATTTCGTAAGCAATATTATCCATAAAAGAGGTGTTTGGGTAAGATCGTGTAAATATAAGTGTGTCGTTAAACCCGCCACCATCCGACACAGCCAAATAGTAAGGTTTGTCACGGAAACAAAACATGCCATTCTTTATTGCTCTATTTAAGACCAAAACATGATTTCTACACAACTCTGGCTGCCGCCTGATGATGCTGGCTGTAATGACTGGTCGAAACGTCGTGCTCAAATTGTAAATGTCGTGGGTTCACTCTCCAACACACCTGTGTGCTGTACTAGTTTAATGACCGAGAATGGAGGAGGGGGAGGGGTACGGAAAGAGCCGAGGCAGGGTAGCCATGGAGAGAGTTCCGGTGAGGGTTGGTGGCGGGCCAGAAGTGTGGGGTGGGGGTTGGTGGAGACTCGTGAGTGAGGAGGACAAGGAGGGTGCCAAGGCTCGGGAAGGGGGGCCCCAGCGGCCGACGGGATACAGCCGCCAAGACACGTAGCAGCCGGCGAGGGATGTCGAAAGGCCAAAACCGGCACGGCCGCCACCGCCGGCCTTAAGTCCACGACATGGGCAGCGGCTACGGGCTTTCGGGATCGCAGTGGGGGGGACAGAGGGCGTTACGCTTGAAGCGTTGACGCGTGAGATGGCCTCGCTGGACGGTTTACCTTGCAAGGCCGCACCGCGACACGGCCGGGGAATGGATTGAAACACCTCGCGGGGGGTCGTGCCCTTCATCCGGCCATCGGGGGAATCCGCGAGAGGTGCACACGTGCAGGCGGTGTTGAATCGGGCATCGGTCATTCCACCGCGCTCGCGAGTGCCGGCGCCTCGAAGAATGCGCTCGCTGCTCGCCACGCCGCTCATTGCGGCTGACACTGTGGTTAAGCGAAATCAGGCGATTGTTATTGCAAGTGCTTGAATGTGTCAGATGAACCGGTTGCGTTGAATGCCCACACTCCGATGGCGCACGTGTCAGCTGCAGAGGATGTGGGAAATACTAACGTGATTGGAGCATGTTCACCAGGGAACGACGTGGGGGAGGTGTTGTCAAGTGACCAGCACACGGCACTCGCTGGGTTGCCGACGGAATTTTCTGATGTGTTCAGACATTCGAAGTATGACTTGGGAAGGGCCGATGCTATTAAGCATGTGATTTAAATGGGGGGGGGGGCGGCCCAGACCCATTCCGCAAAACGCTTATAGAATGAGCATCCAGAATTGTTTTTATCCGGGAATGTGTGAAAGACATGTTAGAAGCGGACATAATCAAGATGGGAGTGCACACTTTTGCATCGACTGACAGACGCTTAAATAAAGCGTCAGTTGCAGGCGCTTACCCACTTCCAAGAGTCGATGAGTCTATTGGTGCATTATCGGGAGCGAATTATTTTTTTCTATGCTTGACTAAAATTGGGGATATTGGCAACTGGCACTTGATGAAGCCACTAAGCATAAAACAGCATTTGTTACAACAGGGGGACTGTTTGAGTTCAAAGTTTTGGCGATGGGCCTCGAAGCTTGGCCTGCTACATTCCAGAGACTCGTGGAAATGGTGTTAGCTGGCTTCCAATGGGAGTGCTTGCTTGAATTTACTTCGACGATGCTATTGTGTTCACTAGCACATTTGAGGAGCACTTGCACGAAGTACTTGCCCCGCTTGAGGGTGGCTAATCTGAGATTAAAACCGCACACGTGTTGTATTTTGCAGAAAGAAGTTAAATATTTGGGCCAAGTAGTCAGTCAGGAGGGGGTGGTTACAGATACAGAAAATAATCGGAGTGTGCAAGACTGGCCCACACCAAAGAATGTCACGGAAGTGCGGCAATTTATTGGCTTAGCCACTTACTATAGGAAGCTTCTGAAGGCTTTTACATCAATTGCTCGACCAATGCATGCATTAACAGCTAAGTGACATGCATTCCAATGGGCGCGCGGAGGAGCAAAAATCATTTTATGCAATCAAGGCAGCTCTGATAACAGCGTCTGTCCTAGCTTATCCAAACTTCAGGGAGGGCTTCATTTTGGAAACGGATGCTAGTGAGGCCGGGAAAGGGCCTGTCCTCTCCCAGAAACTTTATGGCAAGTGGTGATCGCATATGGAAGCCGCACGCTTTCAGTGGCAGAACGATACCGCGTTACGCGCAGGGAATTCCTGGCGCTCGTGCGCTTCATGGGGATTTTCAGAGCGTATTTGTATTGGCCGGGGCATTCACAAGTGCGCACTGACCATGCTGCGTCACAGCGTGCCATGAAATTGGCATGCCTATCTGGGCAATTGGCAAGGTGGCTCGAGAGACTCTGTCCGAGTTTGATTTGACAGCGATACATCGGGCGGGAAGAGGGCATGGCGAATCCCGATGTATTGCCTCGAGGACCGGGGGCGATGCGCTGTGCGCGCTGTGTGGGTAGTGCGAAATTTTACAGTAACTGGCGGGTTGAATTAACCAAGGGGGCAAGGGAAGACAGGCGGAGGAGAGCAGGGAGAACAACCATCCCTGAGAGGGGAACGGGGATTTACATGGAGTGAATGGGCGGAACAGCAACAGCAGGACAGGGAAATTTGCTCGTGATTTGGAAGAGACAGGAGATAGAATGGAACGAAATAAAATGACCAATCTGCCTTTGAGATGCACTTCCGTTGTCGTCTGGTAACGCTCTTCCTTCCGATATTAGGAAGCCACTGGGGCGGTGCACTTTTAAATCATCGAGATTGACAAACTCATTTCTTCAGCACTGCGTTGGTGTTTAGTTTGTTTTCCTTCCCCCCGCACCTCCAATTAGCGACATTGGCTACGTAAGGCGCGAAAGAAGTTCAACATACGTACATTGAAAAGCGAGCCTGACTCTTACGATGAGGAACTGCGTATCGAAACCGGTCCAGATTTTTTCTCGTCTTGAATCATGGATGCGGAAATTATGCACCCCCCCCCCCCCCCCTGTGCAAGCTGAAATAATTGTAATAAAGGTTTTTGGGTTAGATCCCATAAGTATAAATGTGTCGTAATCCTCCACCACTCGACACAGACAGTAAGGTTTGTAACGTAACGTCAAAAAAACGTGCCAATTAGTGTACTACTTCAGTGTAAATGTTGTGAATCTACTCTCCAACACACAGGTGGGCTGAAGTAGTATCTATTGGCGTTTTGTTTACGTGAAAAATCCCTTACCTTATTTTCCCGCATATAGCCCGCATACGCATATAACCCACAGACGCATATACCCCGAAAAAATAGCGTTGTGTGTAAAAAAAATTCAGATAGCCCGCACCTCCATATACCCCGCATGCATTCCTATATTTAACGTCGTTACCGCAGCTTAATTCCATCATATTAATACGAAGTTTACATTTGTAATACATTCCACTATCAATTG